CAGCTTTACTAAGCTGGAGCAGTGGAAATGAAATTTTAGAGTTACAAACCCAAAACTAGTGCTAATTTCTAGTTATAGAGATACACTGCCAGTATATTCATCATTTTCCTCTTAACTACTGTTATCAAGTGCAGTAAAAGAACCTTAGCATTTATCCTATGTAGATAATAAATAATAAATAAATAGAACTAATAAAATAAAATACTAATACTAATAAAATCAAATCTAATATATGGGAAAATAAAAGTGACCAAAAAGTTTAAATACCTAGGGGAGATTATATGTAGCAACGGAATGGATAAGGCATCAATCGAAGGAAGAAAACCAAACTAGAAAGACTGAACTTCGCCACCAGGAATGTTTACAACAAAAAAAAACTTGTCCTCAAATGCAAAAATAAAGCATTACTGTACACTATCAAGACCTGTAATATTATATGGTATGAAAACAGTCAGCCTTCCAAGCCAAGAGAAAGATTGAGAGGAAGATTCTGAGGATAATTTACGGACCCAAAGTAACTCAAGAGGGATACAGGCTAAAATCCAATAAAGAAATATACAAAAATTTGGAAGATTTGGAAACAGTCGTCAGGACCAGAAGACTGAGGTTCTATGGGCACATGCCAGGATGAATAGTGAAAGACTGAACAAGAAAATTTTTGACAAAGTTTGCATTTTTGACAAAGAGACAGGCTAAAAATTATAGATAAAGATTGCTTGGATAGAGAGCTTTTTAGGGAAAAACTGAAAAGGGTTGGGGTTCTTGTAGGTGGGAGGGAGAGACGAGGAAGAAAATGGACTAAGGCAGAGCGAGAGGAACAGTCCAGGAGGATGAGAGAGTATTGGAGTAAGAGGAAGGCTGAGGGAGTGAAGAGGAAATGGAAATGATATTCGCATGGTCCTTGCTTGCCGGGTCGTGGAAAAAAAAAAATAAATAAATAAAACATTTATAAATAGAACATAAGTTGTGTAAAATGTGTAGAAAACAAAATGATGAAAGATATAAAACCTAAAATAGAGTAGTCTATTGAATCTGATGACCATTCTTTACTTATTGGCCATAAAGAAATAATTAAATCCCAATGACCATCAGATAATTTTAGTTAGTCTGATTTCTATTGATCATTAAATGTATTTGCAATGATTCTGCAAAACCAATATTATGATGAAAATAATTTGGACATTATTCAAATAGGGTTTGAGAATTGGTATCCCAAGACATTAAAGACATTATTATTAGAGTGAGGATCCACCAAGACAAATGCTGACAGAGGCACTCCATGGTACCAGGACAAGAAGAAGAACAAAGCTGTGATGGGCTGATGGCATTGCTGCTGATATAACAAATATATTGAGTCTTTGGAATGGCAGCTGATAGGAACCGAGACAATTGGCAGAAGCTGTTGGGGAAGGCCAGGATTATAGGCCAAGAATTTGCCTCAAATTTATTTATGAAAGAATCTATATTAAATTGAGCAAAACTTAATCAAGTCAATTCTAAAGCTGATAGAAATATTGAGGATGTACATTCCTAAGATATTGAAAACAGTTATCAAGATGCCTCATTCTGTGAAATTGACAGGTCTTCCAATAATTTTATTTTTGACTTTATGATTGATTTATGAAAAGATATAAATGGTTTGACATTTTCACTCTGGGTCTCATTTTATGAAAATACTTTATTTATAGGTGCATATTTATTATTAAAATTTAAAATTCACAAACAAACTTTTAGACGGTAGATTTGAAAACAAAATATACTGTTTTAAAGCTACAAAGGTACTGAGTTCAACTATTACTGATGGCAGTTGCAAAAATCTATCCCCATCTCATACAAGCTTCTGGAATTGGAAGGGATAGGAATGGACCTACCCAAAGGTCCACTTATGAGTTGGGTAAGAATGCTACATCCTCTCAGAAGGACCATCCGCATCAAAAGTGTTAACAGAAAAAGAATTACAAGAGAACATTAGATTGCAAAATCATCAGCATATTTAAACTTCCTTTGGAATCAGAAATATTTATTTCTGGATTAAAGAAATATACATTTTATAAAAGCAAGGAAGCCTTAGGGATATTTTCAAAGAAAAATATTTGTTTTAAGACCAATCTTTAAATACATGTAGAATATGTTATTAGATTCTGAGATAGAGTAAAGTTATAAAGCTCCCAAGTTGTACAAATCACTATTTTAGTTTGTCATAATTTTACATGGTATTTTCAATAGTTTAAACAACAAAACTATTTCTAAAAAAATAGGGAACTCTAGAGCTCTTGGGGAGCTACCATAACTCTAAAAAGAATTTTGGAATTTTGATTTTGGAGGGCTCACTGTTTGAGGGGGCCACTTTGAGAAATTAATCCATCATTTTTTGAGTTCTAATAGCCCTCCCAAAGAATTCTAACAATTATCCCAATGAACTTTAGCCCTAAAATAAGACTTCACAGAGCCTTAGCTACAGTTTCTACAAATTTTGTTAAAGATTTAAAATTACAGAAAAAGAAGGATCTTTTTTTTTTGTACTGGGGAATTGAAAAGATAGTTCCATTAAAGTTTGCCAAAAAGGATATACAAAGAAAATATTGTATCTGTTTGGTGTGACCTCCACCCCCAAAATGTAAAATAAAGAAATTATATAGGCCAAATGGCTTAATATTTTTGTAGGCCACTTTTTTTTCCATTTTAAGATAATATTATCTTACATTTCAAGTGAAAGAAAATGGGTATTCATGAGTTTTTAGTACCTAATTGAATAGACAACATTTGCCGATCTCCAGATTGAATACGCTCTAATTAAAAGAATTTTCGCACGAAAAACGAAATATTTTTTGGTTATGATGAGATGAAGCTATTTACGAGATCTTAGTCAGGTGTTAATAATTTGATAAAAAGTACCATGGGCTATTAGTGAAATATGTGAACAGTTAAATTAACAATAGGAAACAACATATCCTGTCCTGAAGTTTAAATGTAGGAAGATCAGAGAAAGTCGTTTGTTTCTGATTTCATAGGTTCTGTATATCATCAACTATTATTCATCCTTTAGTTAATTATGAAATTAGTTCGTAGTTTATATGTGGGCGGGGTGGCTGAACGGGCTGCTAATGTGTGTCCACAGCACCGCTGTTGCCCGGCAACCTAATCTATGAGACAATGGATTTAAAATAGTCACGAGTTCGCGTAGCGGTGGCGGGAGAATCTTTTACATCGCCACCTACACACCTACACCCCCTGGCTCAGGAAAACCTTGTATAGCCTTAAAGGCAAGGAAGGGGAGGACCCCCTCCAAAAAAGTTCATAGTTTATATTTAATCATTTATTGTATGTGAAACAGTTAATTATTTTAAATAAATAAAATTATGGGTATTGTCAGTACCATGGGTCATTAGTGAAATATTTGAACAGTTAATTTAACAATAGGAATGCCCTGTCCTGAACTTTGAATGTAGGAAGATCAGAGAAAATTGGATGTTTCTGATTTCATAACTTCTGTATATTGTCAAAGAGGAGTGCCCATCCGCTATCTCTCCCCCTCCCCCCCCCCCGAAGGTCGATGGCATATGAACCTTCCCAAGATATTTTATTGCTTTCCTCTTCTTAAAAACAGTGTAAACAAAGGTAGATTATAAAAATTCGTAGATTATACACAATTACACATCTTACAGTCTGTTCTATGCTTCCATTTGTCTTTTGTTTTAAAACTTTTCATTTAGAAAATTCATAACTCGATCAAAATGAAATGAAAATAATTTTATTATTCTGGGACTAGTGTCCCTTTAGAACAAGTCACAAATACAGAATATATATCAATATTTTGGTGTGTCCATGAAATACTATTTAATATTTACAGGTTGATTCGGAGTACAATAAAGTTATAAATGATGAAAAGATATAAATACGTGTAAATATAAAATATACAAAGAAATTAATTAAGTGAACGAAATATCAATGAATTACAAAACAATCAGAGTATCTGGGTGTACTTTGAGGTTGTTAAGTGCATTTCGTGATCGATTGGATTGGGAATGGAGTAGGTGTTCGAAGAGGAGAGATTTGAATGAGGATTTCCATTTTGCGTGTTGAATATCTGAAGGTATAGAGTTCCAGAGGGAGACAACTTGTATTAAAAAGGATTCATCAAATGCAGCAGTTCGATGAGGGGAAGGATAGAGGTCGGACGCACGGGATCTGGTGGGACGGGATTGAAAGGAGCGTTTGAATTGTAGGATCTGTAGAATGTTGTGTCCCTCTCAAAAATTCAAAACTCCGTCAAAATGTAACCCCCATAAAAATTTTGATGGCACAACTTGCGCCATGAAACCTCCTTCTGGGCAACCCTGTAGTCAACCATTATTCATCCTTTAGTTAATTATGAAATTAGTTCATAGTTTATCAATCATTTATTATAAGTTATAGTGTGAAATGGTAAATTATTTTAAATAAATAAAATTAAAGGTGCTTTAGAGGAAGAAATTTTTATAACTCAATATTTAAGTCCTGTCAAAATATCCCAATGAAGATAACATCTACCTAATATTAAACACAACTTACTTTTACATTAACATAATGAGTTTGATTGAAATTGCTGGCACTATTTACAAGAAAGTTGTTGTGTAAATTTGACAATATAAAGTACATCTTCTTGTTAGTCAATTTTGGTGAAACGGATGCCTCAACATCCCAGTCATAACGTTAAATAAATAATTTCAGTTTCACAAGACTTTTCTTTTTTGAGTTAGGCTTATCACACCCAAACATACCATTTTGTGAAACTTGGTTTTTTAAACTCCATAACTTACAGAACCTCAAAACGTCTATTTCAATTGAAAATTCAGTTCTAAAATTTTTCATGATGGCAATACTTACCTTAATATATATTTCATAAACAGACAAGTGAAAGTAATTATTACTGTAATACACTACCACATCTAAGATTTACAGATTATTGTTTATGTTGGAAATCTACCATAAACATTTAATAGTTCATGAATGATATTTACCTCACTTCTGCATCAACATTTGCTGCATAATGGCCATCTTTCAGAAGAGGTTGTTCAATTCTCCAAAACTCTGTATAATAACATTTGACCTGATTTTGGTCAACAGAAATGTTGTTTAATACATCAAAGTCAATGAAAACGGAGTCATAATCTGCTTTCACTAATCTAAAAGTTGATAAGACAAATAAGTTGACATAAAATGCTATCAAAATATTGTAAAATAGAACTTTATATCAAGTTGAAAAAATCAACTTCAAAAAATCAATATTGGCAGTTGCATATTCAAAAAATATATACATTACTATAAGCATTTCTGTGCTTCTGACTTTCATCAAGAACATTTTCAATTACATAAGCCAACTATTAGATTATTTACAAGATATTTTATTTAAAAAATATATGTTTAGTAAATATTATGTAGGTGCTGTAATGGAAGTTTTCAAATAATGTACTTTTTAAGATCTCTATATATTCTAATTACACATTTTAATAATGTAATATAACAAAATTAAATTGATGCTCCATACCATAATTCTAAAAAGTACTTTGGAAGTCAACATCTTAAAATTTGGAGTAAAGAGGAAAATAGATCCACCAGGGTCAAGGGACTCACAAAGACCACACTGAGAGCATGCAAAGACATCATAGAAAAGTAATGTTCCTTCTATTTGAAAAATCTTTCTCTTTAAAAAATTTATGATACTAGAAATTTTTCCTTGAAATAGGGAAGTTCAGAAGGTTCTTCCATTGGTTGCAGTTCAGTTAGTCCATGCTCATTAATGGTGGACACTGAAAAACATCTTTCAATATTTTTAAAGATAACATTGACATAATGGTAGCTATTAGAGTGGATTGAAACAGAGAGAGGTGCTGGTCTATCTGCTCTTGAAATGAATGAATGAAAAAATAATTTTATTGTGGGACTACAGTCCTCAAAGAATAATAACAGAATTTCATCATTAGTATAGCTTGGAGTAAACAGAATGATGCTTAATTAACTATTAATATCATTTGAAATTAAACAGTTAACTGAATTATATAGTGTAAAGATTTATACAATAGACAACATGAAAAAAATAGGATGAACAAATCCACATATCAGACATCGTGTTCAAAAGAATGGTTTGAATCCTTGGTTTTGCAGATGATATAGATATTATTAGAAGATATCAGGCGTACATGATGCCTTCTTTGCTCTAGAAGCAGCAATCGGACTACTGAGACTGTGTGTAAATGCAATGAAAACTAAGTATATGACCTCCAAGTTTGGCATTCTTGCAGATACAGTGCAGTTTAGCTCTTGTAAGTTTGAACAACTGGATGAATTTGTCGACTTAGGGTCCCTGATAACTGCAGTCAGTGACATCTTAAAGGAAATTGAGAGAGAGAAATATTTTGTTAAACAATACTACTTTAGACTATGAAGATAGATATATAAGAAGTGAATATCTGTTAATGCCAACCAAATTGTGGCTATATAAATGTTGATCAGATCAGTCCTGACTTACACCTTGGAGTCAAGGGTATCACAGTCGTATGAACAGTGTTTAAAGACTTTCGAAAGAAAAATCAGAGGTGTATATTTGAAGCTATAAGAATTAGTGAAATATACTTCAGAAAATGTAATCAAGAAATATATAACACCCTGATACAGTGAAGTAAATAAGAGTAGGAAGATTGAGGTAGGCTGGCCATGTAGCTAGAATGTATGAGGATGAGATCCCCAGAAAAATAATGAGGAAGGGCACATCATAGAAGGATGGAAGGATGCCTGGATGATCCTGTGGGTCAGATTAGACTGTTGTCCAATGACATGTTGACTAGTGAGCCAATGGGATAAGAAAAAAGATTATGTTGAAATTCATGACCTTTTGAATCATTTTTAATATTTTTTTTTTTATTCATTGATATTTACAACTGTATCATAAAAAAAAATACATCTAGTAAATGTGCACTCAGGAACATAATAAAATGAAATCGCTTGTATAGAAATTACCCACTTGTAGCTAGTGTTGCCCAAAATTGGTCTCGGTCTTGCGGTCTTGGTCTTGCACTTTTGCAAGAGCAAGACCTAGACCACAAACATTATTGCAAGACCAAGACCAGACCCTGCATTCTTGAGCAAGACCAAGACCAGAACATGTAAGTCTTGCATGTCTTGCAGTTAAGTCAAACTGAGACTATTTTCAGATACAGTATGGTGCTTAAACATTTTAATCATCTATTCTAAATAGTGATGTTTTTTCGTGTGGGATTATATATCTGAGTATAGCTTTCCAAATAATAATTAAAAATTAATCTTTATTTTTGTTCTCCCCTACCTCGCCATTTAGGTTACACGGGGGTTTTCACAGGCCAGAGGGTGAGGTCGGGGGATTAATGCCAGAGTTAAAAGAACTCTGAGAATTATTTTATTGTCTCCAACTTTGGTTATCAGGTTGACGGGAAACGGGCAGTGCTGTGTACACTCGTTAGTTAGTCCACCCTAAAAATTAATCATTTGCCAGAAACGGAGCAAGATAAGAAAAAAAAACAAAGAATGGTTTTCATGAAGAGAAATACTACACCGTTTTGGTTACTATTATGAAACTTCTCTTTAAAAGATGTGGACACTCACGGGAAATCAAAATTGCCCGCTATAGAGAGATGTATGTATAAGAAAAATTGGTAAAAAAATATGTTAAAAAATAACATTCAGAAAACTACTAAAACATTTTTCTTTGAAATTTAACCGGAACCATGTTGACATATTACAATCAAATCAGAGGAAATATCAACAAAGGGTTAAGACTCTAAACTCTATTTCAAAACCGGATTTCCTTTATTTATAATGGAATTAAATGACAATATAGTGAATTAATGTTCTCAGAATATGAGCTTCATATTTTCCTTACATATAGTGATTCCTAACTGGATTTTTTTGGTCATAATTCTATAACTCCATTATCTTTCATCATATTTCCTTGTTTCTTTGTTTTACAGCAACACTACTATATATACCCTATTATGTGAGCAATGAATGTATTATCAGAAATAATATATGAAAATAAATGACACTGCGTTAGATGACAAGACATGTTATGTTATAATAGTTATAAGATGTTATGTTATAAGACATGACATGTTATAATATTAAACTTTTTTTCGAGCATTACAAATTCTTTTTTTATTCAGCTACTAAATATGTTATATATATATATATATATATATATATATATATATATATATATATATATATATATATATATATGTGTGTATAAAATAAGATATTATACTTTATGTTTTTGTTTTATCTAGATAAGTTTAAAATTTGGTTCATTCTACTGTTAAAGTAGTTTCTCAAAAACTGATAGATTTTTTATTACAAATTTCAGATAATACCAATATTAGTAGACCTTCCGCTTGCAAAATAATATTTGCAACACTAGTACCGACCGATAAATGTTGCCATCTGGTCGGACCAAATTGTTATTATTGTTTAAATAAACTCTAAACACTAATTTTGTGTTCCAGTTTTTATTTCAATAAATGCTAACATTGTATTTAATATCTTTATACCAAACCCCTTACACTGATTTGATTGTAATATGTCAACATGGTTCCGGTTAAATTTCAAAGAAAAATGTTTTAGTAGTTTTCTGAATGTTATTTTTTAACATATTTTTTTACCAATTTTTCTTATACATACATCTCTCTATAGCGGGCAATTTTGATTTCCCGTGAGTGTCCACATCTTTTAAAGATAAGTTTCATAATAGTAACCAAAACGGTCTAGTATTTTTCTTCATGAAAACCATTCTTTGTTTTTTTTTCTTATCTTGCTCCGTTTCTGGCAAATGATTAATTTTTAGGGTGGACTAACTAACGAGTGTACACAGCACTGCCCGTTTCCCGTCAACCTGATAACCAAAGTTGGGGACAATAAAATAATTCTCAGAGTTCTTTTAACTCTGGCATTAATCCCCCGACCTCACCCTCTGGCCTGTGAAAACCCCCGTGTAACCTAAATGGCGAGGTAGGGGAGAACAAAAATAAAGATTAATTTTTAATTATTATTTGGAAAGCTATACTCAGATATATAATCTCACAAGAAAAAACATCGCTATTTAGAATAGATGATTAAAATGTTTAAGCACCGTACTATATCTGAAAATAGTCTCAGTTTGACTTAACTGCAAGACATGCAAGACTTACAGGTTCTGGTCTTGGTCTTGCTCAAGAATGCAGGGTCTGGTCTTGGTCTTGGTCTTGCAATAATGTTTGTGGTCTTGGTCTTGCTCTTGCAAAAGTGCAAGACCAAGACCGCAAGACCGAGACCAATTTTGGGCAACACTAGCTACAAGTGGGTAGTTTCTATACAAGCGATTTCATTTTATTATGTTCCTGAGTGCACATTTACTAGATGTATTTTTTTTATAATACAGTTGTAAATATCAATGAATAAAAAAAAAATTATTAAAAATGACTCAAAAGGTCATGAATTTCAACATAATCTTTTTTATTATCCCATTGGCTCACTAGTCAACATGTCATTTGGGCAACACTACTTGTAGCACTCAAATAATAAATTTACACAAGAAGATCACAAGGCCACCTTTTCAGATGCCATAGGGAGGGTTTTCAGGGATCGAGGACGAAACAAGGTTTGAAATGGTTTGGCAGGTTTGGATGGTTCTGAAGTTTGTTATGAAAGGACAGGTATCTGGATTGGGACAAATCCATATAAATATAGAAAATATAGAACGTTAAGGTCATTATGGATGATTTTATTTATGACAAAGTAAGTAGTGTTGAGGATTTTACAAAGGATTTTGGATTGGACATAAGATGAATTTGATGGTTTAGTGGAGCCCCAAAGCTTAATTCTGTAATTCCAAATAGGTCTTATTATTGTCATATATATGAGTCGTTTGTAATTGATTGAAAACTTAGAGGGGTTGTCTAGTAAGTGCTGGAGTAGTCAGATATGTCAAGCGGTTTCTTGTCGTTTCAGTCTTGTATTACAATTCCATATGAGTCGTTCGTCCAGGTAGAGTCCTGGGTAACAGATTTGTTCAACTGGGATAAGTGAGGAATTGTTAAAGGATACTGTAGGACAGGAGGTGATAGGTTTGCAATGCAGGGTAAAGGTAATTTAATGAGATTTCTTGGAATTTATTTTAATTCTCCAGTTTTTACAGCATTTTTAATTTTCTACCTATACTAGGTAAGGAAAGTATTGCAATGGGGTCAAAATTCCGATGGATCTATACGTTTCTGAGCCCTCTGAGTCCAAAAAACACATTTTTAGCCATTGGTCTGTCTGTCTGTCTGTGCCAAGATTTTCTCGGGAACTACCGAACCGATTTTGTTACTTCTTTTTTTATTTTGTAGGGTTTTGACTACTGATACCTGTGACAGAAATTCGGTGCTCCATGCATAGCTTGCGCGCAATAAATGAAAAACATGTTTTTCTATAGACAGTAGCTCAAAAATGGCTCTAACGATTTTGATGAAACTTTCCTATAATGTTCTTATCATTGTTGTTTCAATTTTTGTGTATATAGACTAAATTTCCGAAAAAATTAGGAAAAAAAAGTTATAAAGAAAAGAAAAATGTTATGGGGCCTAACTCCCTAAGTATATATTATACGGTCAAACTTATTATAAAACTTTTGAAAGGTAATTAAATTACCAAAAAAAAATCATCGGAATCAAACCAGTATTAGCAATGATAGAGCTTATTAAAAAAAAAATACACCGTTGTTTGAAAGGTAATGAAATTCCCACAAAGCCGTATAAAAATCGTTAATTTTGAACAACTATTAATGTCATTTATATTGGACAATTATTTATATTACAGCTATTCAATTTCCAATGTAAGATTATGGTTTCATATTCTAGTATCAGAAAGGAGTGGATGAGAGAATAAAGATGACTAAGTGAAAATAAGAAAATCTGTTGCCCGCATCACATAATCTTCACTATTTCCTCTACTTTTAAGAGAAATTATTGTTTGACAATACTAAGCTATGTCAAAAAGTTTTTGATCAGCAATATTAGGAAGAATTGAAATTTTTACACCGATCTACCTTAAGCCAGTTTACATTGCTTTAGTTTATCAAATAAATCGTACTCAAATCTTTGACCAATTTTCAGGAAAATGTATCTAGTTCAATTCTTTTTTGTTTCTTCATGAACATATGCAAAGATATAAAAACTTTTCTGAAATATGTAGGAAAGTTGTGTGAGTGGACACACCAGATATTTTAAAGTTTGTGATATGTGATTGGAGAGTTTGGGATGTGGTTGATGGATCATTATTAACAGATAGGATACTTGTGTCATCAGCATATGTGGTGATGATAGTGTCAAGATGGCTAGAGATGTCAGCTGTATAAACTGTGTAAAGGATAGGACCAAGGATACTACCTTGAGGAACACCAGCATACTGGGAAAAAAGGAATGAATAAGAGTTGTTGTGATTCACTTTAAAGCATCTATCAGTAAGCTAGGAGTGGATAATGAGGAAATATGTAGGTGGTAAAAATTTACGAAGTTTTTACATCAGCCCCGGGTGCCAGACCCTATCAAACGCCTGTTCAACGTCAAGAAAGACTCCCGTGCAGTACATTCTGTGTCCAATGCAGAAGAGACTACCTCTACCATACAATGACATTGCTGAATGTGGAGTGGGATGTTTGGAATTCAAATTGGTGATCTGAGATTATGTGGTTAGAATCTAGAATGGGATATAGGCGTTTTAAGATGAGTTTTTCCAGGATTTTTCCCATGATGGGTAAAAGAGAGATAGGATGGTAACAGTATGGGTATTTCAGTGGTCATCCATAGTGATTTATCGGTAGTTATTAGTTTTTTAGTAAAATTAAGTAAATTTTGAATTTTCTAATTTCTGACATTAGTTTGTTTGCCAGTTGGGTGTAATGAGTTTCGTAAGTTGGATATCAAATTCTATGCCACTTTGATCTTGCTATGCATTTTTCCCTTAATAAGATACGAATATGTTGTGGCAAGTTAGTCTTCTGTGAATTGTAAAATTTACTAATACAGGTGTTTTTATTGATAATGTATGTTATTGATACTGTAAGTTTGTCTATGGCATCTTCAATATCTTGGTTTGTCTTTAGCGGAATTTTAAAGTGTAATGTATTTTCCAAATCATCATTTTTTAATAATTGAAAATCTGTAAAAGTATCTAGTATAATATTATTTTTGATCAGGAATATATGAATAATAACACTACCTTCCAATATTGAATTTGTTGCACTTAGGAGGGTCTATGTCAGTAATAAATTTCTGGATAAGTTCATCAAAGGGATCCATGTATGGTATTTTGCAACCTGTTGTGTTGATGAGAAAAGCAGTTTGTCCTAGAGTAAAGGAAAAATTATGTTAATAATTAAATAAGTATATATCAAAACAATACTTTTTTATTTTTTTAAAACATAGTAGAAGTTAACTTAGATATTTTGACCGCAATGAAAATTATACTCGAGAAAATTACATATTTTGCTACAAAAACATTGGTTCATAAAAAAATTAGGACAAAAAAAAATCTAATTGAAAAATATATATAATACATTTGCACCAATACAACCCATACAGTCTTGTGCATTCTGTAAGAGCATTCTGTTTCTCAGCAGCGGTCATACAATGAAGTGATGAGATCAATACCCATGCTTAACTACCAGGTTTATCTTTCACCCCAATGAAGGATCATACACTGCTATAACAGGGTCTCCTAAGCACAGAGTCAATCCAAGGCTGAAAAAGCTAATTAGGTGATCACACTTAGATAATTTAGAAACAGCATTAGAAGCAGCCAGGTTAGAAGCAGCATGGGTTATACCAGACTACTGGATCCCACAGCTACCCATGGGGCATTACTTTTAAACTAGAGAACAATGCTTGTCTTTGGAGTTATGTGTGGCTGAATGACATCTGTCATGCCTGTGCACTGCATAAAAAAATCGTTACATAAATCAGCTTCTCGACAAATGTACAGTACCACCAGTTCATCTACTCTGTTTAATAAAACATCTACAGTTATCTTATCTATTAGACAGATTTCAAAAGACTCATTATTATTCACAGAAATAAATAAACAAAGATTGGAATCTAAAAAGATCATTGTAGAGGAGCATTAATTCGTAAATGTCATATTTAATTATTCATTTATTTAATAGGCTACTTTTGGTCCAAGAAATTTAAGTTTTTATTTTATTATCATTGAGTTCTGCGGTGCTGTAGGTGAGGAAGAACCTTTTCTCTGCTTTTTAAATGCAAACTTTGTCTTTGATGAACATACTATTTCTACAAAAAATAAAATTTGGTGCGCGCAACACACAACTTTCACTTACCGCTCAACTTTGAATAGAAATTATTTTCTGGCCATTTTGAGCTATTATAAATTTTTTTAATTGCATTTTTAACCAAGCTTAAGCTAAAAGCATACAGCTCACAAATCATCAATACCATTAAAATAACAAAAGTCCTATCCATTGATCATGGATTCTATGACTATTAGTTATTAAACTGTTATTTTCCATTGCAATGTTTACTAAAATGGAATTAAGAGATTTGCATTGTCTGTCACAGACAGGTCAATAGTTGTCACAGAAGATTTTGTTAGAGAAACTATGAAAATAAAGCATACAAAACCAAAAGTAATCAGTTTCCATTGATGAATGATTCAGTAAAAATGTGATGATTGGGTACAAAAATAACTATACATTAATATTAAAAATATATCAGAACTTGCCTACTCACCCTGAAACTCTTCATCTATGATCCTTCCAGGTGGTATGTGTAGGCTAGGCATTGAGGTGTCCTTCTGAAATAGTAGCCATACCAGGGAAAGGAAGACAACTCCCAGTAGGAGGAGCTGCTTTCGCATGAGTTGTTCATGGCTTCGATCTGTAACAACGATTGGGTTAATCAACTAGTTTTGCCATATCACTGACAAGATCTATTCAACTGAAGATAATTTTTTTTTTTTACTTTTCTTTACAGTATTATATTGTATCCTGAAGTTTAAAATATGCAACATTTAAATAAAGTTATAAATGGAAAAATCCAAATTACAAAGTAATAAACTCCAACATACAGATAAATAGTTAATTTGCCAATGTTTTGCCAATTTGGGCATCACTCATCAGGGAAGAAAAAAGACATATATTCAGAAAGAAAAAAAAAATATAGCAGATGAAAACTCATGAAGCTATCCAAATACCTACTGTCTTTTGGAGACTCAGGGCTTTGTAATTTGGATTTTTCCATTTATAATATAATCACCTTAAATCTCTTTTCTAGCTTTATGCTTATTTTAGTAATTTAAAAAATATTATAAGCAAAGTTATAAAATCCAACTAGAAAAGGAAGAACGAGTTATTCAATGAGTTGTCAACCTTTTCTAGGCAGATTAGAAAGGTGGAGATTTTCCTTTTGGTCTATCAGGAAATCAAATCAAATGGACAATGATTTTATCCCTCAGCACTATGAACTGACATGGTGCAGTTCGAATCCAGTTTGGGTGAGTAAAGATTTATTTCGGGATTGGACCCACCAATGAATCTCGACTTTGAGATTATTTTTAATAAGTTTGTTGCATGTATTATATTTTATGAATTTAAAATGATCTACCACCAACTCATTTGAGCACGAAACCAATTATACTTTTATTAAGTGTTAATGAATAAAATATAAAGTTTTATACTTTACTGTAAACCTTCGACTTTAAAAAAGTCATAACAAATTTTAGGCTTTTAATCCCTTAATTAAATGTCGAATTGCATTCAGTTGTCGTTCTGACATTAATCCTCGTTTTCATTGTTTTAATTTTTTCCCTCATAAGACCAGAATATGAAGATGAATGTCGCATAAATCACAATTATTCAAAAAACTATTATTACCTTCACAACCCTGTTCAAGTAAAGAAATAAAACACATGTACTGATCAAGCATAATTCAATATATCGATTTGTCCAACCATTAATTGGTGTTATTAAATTACAATGAAGGTTTTTCTATTGGTGTTGATGAAATTTATCAAATAAATATTACAATACTTAATTACTTTATAGCAATAAAAAACAGTATAAAATATTTATTAGAGACTTAGTAAATAAATAGAAACGGACTACGTTATTATGACAGGTGTTACCTGCACTGTATGCTACTGTTGGACGTAGTTTAGTAACTTTAACGCGGCCAATTAAAAATATTAGTTATTAGTTGTCCACAACTTCAAAAATAACTAAATTAGTTGTTAGTTGTCAATGCCAACTATTATTTTTTTCGGGTAATGTACTTGAAGTTAATACACTAGCGGATCCAGAATTTTTTTTTTTGGGGGGGAGGGACTTCAGCACAAATTTTTTTTCTTCATACATATATATATATATATATATATATATATATATATATATATATATATATATATATATATATATAAAACAATAATTACTTTAGAAAAAAAGAAAGATACTAACTATCTTCTATCTTACTATCTTCTTATATACTAAATGGTGTTGAAGTGATTTTTGAAGTCCTATTAAATGTAATTACACGAACAATAATACTTTAAAAGATGATTTTTTTTACCATAGAACATGCTTATCTTTTACCATTTTGGGGGAAGCTTCAGCCGGAAAGCCCCCCTCCCTCCGTAGATCCGCCTTTAAGTTAAAGGAATCAGCTAAATATGCTTTTTTTTTTTCTATCATTTGTAATTTATTTCTGAATTTAATTTATCAAAATAGAGAGAGTGTGAGAAAAAACTAAAGAAGGTACTTTTATAACAATAATTCAATTCATAGACAAAATTCCTACCCTCCAACTCAATTCGGAGAGGCTCCATAAAACTTTTTAAAAACGCGCGAAAATGGAGGGAGTGAGAGAAAAATGCCAAATTTAGAAGAAATTTATTCACATATAAATGAAGGGAAGGAATATCGTTGGGATTAATGAAACCAAGACAATGCCTTAAGGCGTCGGATATAGGATAGGCGTTGTAAGAGTGGAATAAAAAAATCACTCGATATTATTATAAATATTAATAGTTGTTGAGGATAAATTAAGGTTAATAATAACCTTTTCGTTCGTAATAGTAATTCATACAGTCTATTCATTTACCACTTCTGTGTTTTTTTTCCACCTTTGTATCTAGTACCTGTCACTTTTGCTAATAAAGGAATATCATTTCAATATTTATATTTTAAAGAAATTATTTGAGATATGGATTCGTCTGGATCAAGCAATGTGAATTGTTAAGTATTGAAAATATAACTGCATGAAAGTTAAATTTAGATAATTATCTTAGATAATTATACCACTACTTAAAAGTAGTGACAAATTTTTGAAGATAATGGAAATAAGATCAGGCTGCTTTCTCATAGTAATTAACTATTTGATTGCAATGAATTAAATTAAACAATACATTGCAGTGTAAACATTACATTGAAATCACACATTGAAGATTTAAGTAACGTTCGATTTTTATTGGCACTTTAGACATGCCCTGCTATGTTGCCGACTCCTGATTTGCTGGAAGGCAAGGGAGGATGAAATAAATAATAATATATGTATATTGGATATCTCCATAACTTCACAATCGTGTTCTAGGAGTTTCAAAACTAATATTGAAGGTACTGTTGATAACAGTAGAAGCGATCAAAGAGGCTGCAGGAGATGCTATATTAACCACATATGTTCTAATTAAAACATATGATATAATTGAATAAAAGTTTTGTACAGTTGAATTGTGCTTTGTGCTTATAAAAATAATATTGTTAATAAAAGAATATCAGTGTTGTGTATTTGCTTTGTTCTTTTATTTTTTCTGCGTGCGAGTAACATTTTTCACTCCAGCATTCCGTTGACTTCCGATGCACAGCAAAAGTTTATTATTTTTTGAGATTATGCGACCAAAAACAGAAGTATACCAAATAGGTCAGTGAAGATTCATCCCATATAAAACACCAAATGCATTAACACATATTCTTCAGATTTATATGATTTTGTTTTAACATGAACCAGTTATACCAAATAAATGTATCTACACATATTTTGAGTGAAGTAATCGTTTCATTTCATGTTAGAAAATTGCAGAAAATGTCGAATTTCACAATGCTTCTTACGACGAAAATGCTCCTAGATTTACATACGATGGAGCTTACAAGTGCTTGTTATCTCATTTAATTCTTTTGCAAGAACGTTCATTCTCAAAGAAATAAAAAAATAAATAAAAAACGAATTTCAAAAATGTATATTATTCCGATATGCAGTATGTCCCGTAAGTAGAGGACAATTTTTATAGTAGTGATATCAGACTTCAAGAACTACAAAAACATTCATATTAATAATGTTCGGATTTTCAGCAGAGAAGTATGAAATCCAACTTTTGTGTTCTTTTTTTAAGTAAGCCATGTTTACTGTTGAAAAGAAACCGATAACTAAATAAATATTTAAATTAAGTAAATAACAATTGCTTCACTGTTAATCAGACAAAATTTAATTGAATTTAAAATAGAGTTTGTCATGGTTATAACCATTTAAAGGGAACCTATGAGCGGCTGAACTATGCTAAATTCTTTTTATAAAATAATCATAAATATTTTTTATCATCTCCAGCTAACTGCAGATATCCCACTTTTATGAAAACTCCTTCGTTTAAAAATATTTAACTCCATATGAATTTAGTTGAGGTTTATTTGGAAAAAAAACTTGAGATTCACGTCAAGTTCTATAGAAAATGGGGTCGTATTTTTATCCTATCATCTAAAACTACTCACCTTTAATTTGAAATAATTTTTTTTTTTACGTGAAACAGCCATGAAGGATTACGCGACTATGATACTGGTTCCTTCTTCAATTTCTTCCTTTCTGCCTATCTCTGCTACAGGATATCGCTATATTTCTTCTTCCTCTCCTCCGTCCACTTCTTCCTGGACGGAAGTTCCCTACTGTCCACCACATGCACCCCACTTTCCTTTGTATTTCCTATTTTATTTGTACCGTATATCCATGGTTAAACTTGTATCCACCCCATAACCCTACTGAAAATCTTGTTTAACCGCTCCTCGGTCATCCTTTGCATGTGTCCATAAAACCTAAGTCTTCTCATTTCCGTTTCCAGATCAGAGGTTTCACTGTAAATCTCCTTATTGGATTTCAGTCTATTCTGGTGTTATTTTGGGCCCATGAATTCTTCTAAGAATCCTTCTTTCTATTTTCAGCAGCTTCCCCAAACCGGGTGAAGTAAGTTTTATCTAGTTTACAGTCAAGAAATGTTTAATTACTTAAATTAACTATTTCTTTAGTTATCGCTTCCTATTCAACAAACATTACTAACTTTAAATAACACAAAACATGGATTTCTTACTTTTCCTAGCCCTTCAATATCTGCTTTCTCTCCTATAAAAAATATCCAGTACTCACAGGACGCCCTTTATATAACCGAATGATACAATTCGCTCATTGATTTATTAATCTCTGTATTTCGAAAATGACAATGCCTATGAAGCTTTAATATTAATTGGTAGTTCCTCTAATGCTGTAGATCAGCATTAAAGCTGGGTCTCGATAAATCCGCACAGTAAGTGATTAAAAAATAATTTAAAAACCTTAAAATAATTTTTTTTCTATCTATATATAATGAAACATTGAATTGTCTTTATATTGAGTTTTGAGTCGATAAATATTATCAGTGCAACATTTCCTATTTGAACGCGAGAAGCATTATAATACTACGAAAAATCGTCCCTCGCTTAAAAATCATTGCCTACCTTTTAGCGTATTTTCTACAATAATTTGTCGGTATTTTCAGCCCAAATTGTTTCAACGAAACCACGCGATTACACCAATTGATTCAAGTCATCGAACTTAAAAATCAGTAGAGCCATTCGCTCAAAAAATCG